AACCTCACTGTTCCACTTCCCTCCCTCTTGTTCATACACATGTATTCTGTCTTACCACGACTGACTCTTCTCTCTCTTCTTTCCAGAGCAGACCTCCCCCTAAAAACACAACTTAAGGTTGCCAGGTAACAACATGATCTCTACAAGTTAGCAGAGGTACTGACTGCTTGGAAACCAAGCAAGTAAAATGAAACTACTGCCTGTTTCAAAGGTTAGAGAGAACTCAATGATGGATTTTTCTTTTATGCGAATGCACCTACTCTGACCTTGTGGTTTTGAATTATTCTCCTCGTTTGACGACATGGGGGAGAAGCAGTACCATTCTGTTGCGTTTGTGCACAGAAAATCACCACATCTGCGACATTGGAATCAGTGAATACTGAGCATTTTTTGTTTGACAAATGGCTTTACTGAGTAATCACATGTGAACATTGTTGGCAATTAATGTTCTATTAATAGACTTAATGCTTAATTACCTAATACCAGTAGTTTCAGCACTGTTTCAATAAGCAGTACAGGTCTAATGAATAAGGTATCAGGCAGTGTGTATGAAATGTAAAAGGAACCAGCAGCTCAGGGGCAGAAGTGCATAAGCCTTAGATACCAAGCTACTAACTGATGGGCAGAAAAGAGAGAAAGGAAGAAAATGATCAAGAACAGCAAAGATCCATCACCGATTTGCAAGGAACTAGCACCTTAAAACATTATGCCTCTGAAGCAAAAAAAAGGCAGAAGGAAAGTCTGTGCAATTATACATGAACCTACTGTGTGCTCACTCATTAGCGCTCCACCTCAAGCTCGTGGTACAACAACTCAACATTGTGGTTTTCTACTTAAGCAAAAAAATAATAAAGCTTTCTCTCAACTGTTAACACTGAGGGTGATTAGCCTTTTCACCCCCTTTCTCTCTGTTTTTCAGATTGCTGTTTTTCAGTCTAATGTCAGAGGTTACATCATATGTGAGGGAAGTAATGGAGTGACTTGGTTTGTTGTTTGTGCGCACGCGTGTGTGTGTCCTCCGTGAACTCAGTGAAAAATATAAAGTACTCCATTATTCATTTGTACCTCAATGCACCGCTACTATAACGTATCCCTCCGCTGAGGCTCAGCAAGGTACTGCCAAGGAAATAAGAGGGAAATTTGTCTTAAATAGACTAACTAAAACAGACAAACTTGAACTAGATTAGTGGCACAACAGAAGCCACATTTGAGCCTTACACAAACTTTGGAGTGCATGTTTTTTTTTTTTTGTTTTTTTTTTTTACAGAACATCACCTAGGTAGTTTGTCCCTCGTTTTTTGGCAGTGTAGTCATGTTCTGAATGGAAATATGCAGGGTCAGTGTGGAAAGTAGAACTGACAAGGATTAAGACCTATTCTCAAACACACACAGATACCCAAGTTTTGTTTTAACATCAACTTGACAAATTCCGAACTATTCCTTTAAGTCCACATCCACCAGGTTATGAGAGTAACTACATAAACTTGATCAAAAAACAGCCCGCATTCTATTTCTGGAATATACCTTCTCAAACAAGCGCAAACACCTGAAACACCACTTACCCTGCAATCTTGTTGCGCAGAGGCTTACTGGGGATAATGGAGATCTCCTCGCACACCCTCTTGTTGGTGTGGAAGTCATTGCCCAGACGTGTGTAGTACTTCTCAATGATGACCCGGGCAGCCTTCTTGACTGTCTTGGTCCTGACTCGACCCTGAAACAGACCCAACAGAGGGTTTTAATACAGCTGAAAATTTTAGTAATAAAACAAACCAGGTGCTTTCTGCAGAAACAAATAACATTAGAAATATAAAAGTATATTTAGACATGTCAATGTGTAATTAAAACGATTTTTTTGCCAATATAAGATGAAAAAGTCCTGAAATGGCTGTAAGACGTCTTCTTGACTTACAAAGTTAGACTGCAGTTATCACATAAAGCATTAACGCTGGTCCGACAACAAACTGTCAGCCTCTGTCACCCAAAACAAGTGAGGTTAGAAGAGCTAAGAAACATAAACCGGCGTACCTCGGTACTATTTCTTCGTATAAATACATGTGTACCGGTGTTATTTTGGCTGTTTTAACTGCCTAGCGGCCACTCGCCTAATTACACGGGGACATTTAGTCTTGTGTTTACGAATATACGAGTCCAAGTACAACGAAATCCAGCGTTTATGAACTTTTACGCTGGATTTGTGCAGAAAAATACTTTCGGTGCTTGGTGGGCAACTAAACAGTGAGGATTGCAGAGGATGGTAAGGTCTGGTGAAGGAAAACATTTTGTGTACCTACCATATTGGCTCTGACCGATGGAAGGGAAGCACCGAGGGTCATACAGAACGTTCATGGTTTACAGGCTGCTCGGTCAGGTGGCGCCCCGCCGGCAACACCGCACCCTAGCGGCGGGAGGTGAGACCTGCATATGACGGAAAAACATTTGCCGCGGATTACATTAATTTGCCAATTTAAGTATTTTTATTTAAAGCAGTAAAGTCACACTGGAAAATGTCCCACTTTCAATCAAAATTCCTGCATTCAATATTTTACTTAGATGTTAAAATGAAATATAGGCTATCTAGGCAATAAATTAAAGAATGTTATTTGAAATTTATTTTAGAGCTGCAATGATTTGGTGATCAATTGATTGACTGTAAAAAAAATTAGCTGCCAACAATTTTAACCAATTAAACTGTTTACATAATTTTAATTGGGCTACTAATGGGTGTACTAAGGTTTCTTTACCTAACAGCAGGGTTTTAACACATATAGAATCAGCTTTATTGGCCAAGTACTGTACATTAAACACACAAGGAATTTGACTCTTGTACATTATATGATGGTGAATAGGCCTGTCTTACCCTGGACTAAAGAAAACGATTGACTAATAAATGTATTTAGCCTAAGGCACAAGATTTCTCTCCAACTTGTAGTACAAAGTGTCTCTCAAAAAAAAAAAAAACTCCAATATGTGTTCAGTACATTATCTGAGTGTGTTGGATTATTTCTAGCAAACCCCTGAAAAACTAGTCACAAAATCAAAAGGGGATCCCAAAAGAAATGAAGTATTTTTTTTTTAAATTGCTACCTCAAAAAATATCTGATCAAAGACCAAACTCCTGCACAGGGGCATAAAGTGCTGATAACCCATTTTTGCTGCACATTTATAAAGGGCAAAAGGCTAAGCTTGGGCAATATAATGTAATTTCAAAAGTCTAGAATGCAAAGTCATGCAATTTCATTATTCAGCGTAATGACAATCAATCAGGTTTGGTGACATTTAGGAAATAAATGTCATATTGTGTTTTTTGTGCTGTCCTGATGGCGATGGAGGCGAAGGCAGTGATAGGCCACGACAAGGGGATTCCTAGTTCTAAAGTTTACTGGACAGTTCGTTGTAGCAGGTTACAACACTCACCAGAGTAACAGAGTACACGTTGCTGGCAGTTGGAATATGATTTCTCCCTTTTTTGGGCTGTTTCTGATGTCTATCCCAGGCACAGACGGAGGACTTTTCAACCTGACAGGTAGACAGACAACTAACTGGTTTTTACATGCTCACTTCCGTTACCATGCCAGGGAGCCTATCATGATGCTTGAAAGCTACATAACATGAATGAAATAGCCAACATAACAATAGTGGTGTGACTAGGGCCGTCTAACGATGAACTATTAAAAATTAAATGCCCATTACAATACTATTTTCAGAACCTGTCAAAATACCCACAATTAGATTCAGATGTTATCTGAAATAGACAAGAATCAGTGCAGCTCCGATAATAAGTCTAAGAAGCCAGACTGGAATACTGACACACACTGAGCTGAAAAGCAAGAATTTCTTTCATTGTGTATTCAAATCTCAGACTCTAATGTAAAGTTGCCAGATTCATCATTTCAGTAAATCTGCCATTTCACTAAAGTATCTGGAGAATTTAGTACAAAGGCAAGTCATAGCAGACAGTCCCACAAGGTGGAGAGATCTTTTATTTTACATAAAAAAGGGTGCAAACTGGAGTCTCCCTTTAGGTGTGGAGGGAATAAAAAGTGATTTTAAGGTTCATGTCTGACACATTGTTTTATATGAATCCAAACAGGGGAAAACAGGCTTCTGAGATAAAAAGGACCTTTAACTTTCTGCAAATTAAAAATATGAAACCATAAAAAGAAGAAATGTGGGTCCATTCTTGAAGCCCTTGACTAACTCATTCAAATACATTTTTGAAGTGACATTCATATTTCAACACAATAATATTTATTTACAGTTTTAAGATTTCTCTTAATCATAGCTCTGAAAAAACTAAACAAAACAATGCTGAGGGTTGGATAAACTCTTGGAGCTGTACAATTAGATTTTCCACAGTCTAAGAGGAAACCAAAACAAAAAATGTCAAAGAATACATTTTTATATGAAATCCCAACAGCAAAGAACAAAAACAAAGACTACAATTGTGAACTCTGTACAATTTACAGTTTTCAAATAATCACCACAATATTGCAGTAAAACCCTAAACCCTCTGCCTCAAAGAAAAATATACAGTAAATCCAAGACAGTTCTACAGTACAGCAACAAGGAAAAAGTGCCAGAGAACCCAAAGAGACCGAAGCCATTCATTCACACTTTAACTGTCCTTTGCTTTGATTTACACAGCTATGACACACAGGAATGAGTTACGCACAACCAAAGCCACAAACACAGGTTTGACTGTACTGAAGTGTATTAAAAAATATATTGGGAACCAAAACAATGTGCTGTGAGAAGACATGAACAAATTACGTATTTTACATGAAGACTGGAAGCCATTACGTCTCACCGACCCAAACAGCACATGACCCCTAGGTCATGTGCTGAAAATGCACTGGAGAGAGGCGGCTCACTGTTGTCTCCAGATAAGCCATGCAGATACAAATCATACCGTGTACTTCTATATCACTCTGTTCAAGGCCGGGGGGTAAATGCAGAGTAACAGCTACGTATATCTACCGATTCAGCCATGAGCTAAAACATGAGGTGACCCACGCTGTAAGGAAGACGACGTTGCAAAGATGACCAGTCCCAAACTCTACTCTGAAATAATAAACTTAGTTGATAAACTGGTGCAGGCTTATCAACACCAATGGAAATGATTCGTAAAACACCTTTACCACCACTCTCCAACACTTCCTGGCACTGAATTGTGCCACGCTGCTCTCCGGTTTTTCAAAATGACAGCGGACACAAGTGGAATGCAATGGTCAAAAAACAAAAACAATATTCTACTTCATATTTTCCTGGCACAGGTAAAAGGCATGGGCTAGCAGTAGTCTCAGGAATGGCACTCGGGGAATTCAGGGGGAAACACTGAAGGCTGTATAGTCTTGATATCCATCTCACTATACTAGAATACTTTCAGCTTTTCTCAGGTAGTTGGAACGAAACAGTCCAGGTGCCGCTGATGCTTTGTGGGGAGAAATCACAGGCAGCAGATGCCACAGGTTTGGTGTCTGAAACATAAGGGAGGGTTTAACCCTCACCAGATAGAATACAAGTACATTACAATGAATGTTTCACAGAAAGAAAAAAAACAAACAAACATGATTTTAACCTCCAAACAAAAATCTAACCTCTCCTGGGTAAAGTAATGACCCAAACCTCACCCAGTCATTTACACCAGCTAGCACTGGACTCTACAGGTGAGTCTGACAGACATCACCCCCCCCCAACACACAACGCAATGAACACCAGTCATTCAAATAGCCTGTTTTCCCACCATTCCCCACAGATCCTGTGTGGAATTTTTATAATAATGAGAAAAACAAACAAACAAAAAAAAGATCCTGTAGATTTTCATATTCAAGTACTTTCAATAACACAATAACTTAGACTCCAGAGTAACTGACATGTCAGGGGTAGGAATAAACCAAAACCTATACAGTGTAAATACACGCTATCAAGCAGGTTTACATACTAATTGATTGAAAATGGCAGCAACATCTATATTATGTTTCTAAAGGTGATGGCGTGGGTCTACAAAACGCCAAATCTAATGCTTCACTGAGTGTTGATTCATCTAGGACTTGCACGTGTGTGTGTGTGTGTGTGTGTGTGTATATAGAGAGAGAAGAGGGGTGGGAGGAGGAATTCATGGCACAAAAAAAAACAAACAAACAAAAAAAAAAGACTTGAGCAGGGATAAAATCATTTCAAAGTGTATTCCCTGCACCCTATAGGAAAGCCCTAGCACAAAGAGGCAGCTAGAATTAAAGTAATAAGCACATTTAAAGTTTAAAGTACAGTATTAAGAAGGCAGGGTCTCAACAGGGAAAGTCAGGGTTAACAAATGTAGTGGAGTC